AAATGAAAATGAATTACCCGATCCTTATCAGTAGCCAAAAAAAAATATATATATATATATATATATATTTCATTTATGAATGAGTAAGCATCAGCAGTCACCATCATGGCCGGCCAATATTTGTCTTTCTGTTGTTTTCATTTCAGATATAGATGAATGCAAAGGCCTTAATAATCGGTGTAAGATTGATGATCCTGCAACGAATTTTGGTGACACAAATAGGTGTGAGAATTATGTTGGAGGTCATAGATGCTACTCAATTGAAACTGGTATTACATGTCAGTATTATGGTACAGCTGATGCTCAATGCTTCTTCCCTACCAGATGGTCGCTTCTCCTCTTTCCAATCCAAATCATTCTTCTTGGTACGTATGCACTCCATGGTTCATTAACTCTTGCTATTTAAGCTTTTAAAAACAATTTTTTAAAGTAGATGTCAAAACCAAATTCTCTCTTTCAGAGCTGGTTCTATAAAAATGAGGCAGAAGACCTCTAAGAATTTCAACAAAGAAAATGTAGCCAGATGATATAAGTTTATGTTGCGCTTTTTAAAGTTTTAGATGTTTATGAAGTTTGTGCTTAAAGAACTACTTGATTGAGTTATATACGTATGCAGGTCTTGGCTTGAGTCTTGGGCTACTTATATATGTATACAAAGGTATACACAAAAGGAAAAAGATTAAACGCAAGGAAATGTTTTTCAAACGAAATGGTGGTTTATTGTTAGAGCAACAATTATCATCAAATAAAGGTAATGTAGAGAAAATCAAGTTGTTCAAATCCAAGGAGTTAGAGAGGTCCACCCATAATTTTAAAATTAATAGAATTCTTGGTCATGGAGGCCAAGGTACTGTTTACAAAGGCATGTTGGCAGATGGAAGAATCGTTGCTATAAAGAAGTCTAAAATAGTGGATGAAGGCAAACTTTCAGAATTCATTAATGAGGTTGTGATCCTTTCACAAATTAACCACAGGAATGTGGTTAAAATATTGGGATGTTGTTTGGAGACTGAAGTTCCTCTTTTGGTTTATGAATTCATACCCAACGGAACCCTTGCTGAGTATATCCAAGGGAAAGTTGAGGAGTTTCCACTTACATGGGCGATGCGGTTACGAATTGCCACAGAAATTGCAGGAGCTCTTTCCTACTTACATGCTGCAGCTTCCTTTCCCATTTTCCACAGGGACATCAAATCAACAAACATACTTCTGGATGAAAAATACAGAGCAAAAGTTGCTGATTTCGGAACTTCACGATCAGTTTCCATTGACCAAACTCACGTGACAACACTTGTTAATGGTACATTTGGTTACTTGGACCCGGAATACTTCCATTCAAATCGATTTACAGATAAAAGTGATGTGTATAGCTTTGGGGTAGTCCTTGTTGAGCTCTTAACTGGACAAAAACCCGTTTGTGCAGTAACAAGGTCACAAGAAGACGAATATAGAAGTCTTGCCACGCATTTCATTATTTCGATGCAAGAAGATTGTCTATTTGATATTGTTGATGCTCGAATTTTGAAGGAGGGCTCTAAAACAGGGATCGAAGTATTTGCTAAACTTGCAGGAAGATGCCTGAATTTTAATGGGAGGAATCGTCCTACAATGAGAGAGGTCACTACTGAGTTGGAGGCCATCCAAAAGTCAGAAACAACTTATAATGAATCACTTGAGCAGCAGAAGAAAGTTGTTTCAATTCAACACAGTCAGGTTCGGATATGTTGAGAGTATGGAAACTTGAGTTGCATTGGAGAATGGAAACTTTGCATTAGTGCTTAAAAGATACCTTGAGTTGGATGATCACATTCTATATCTTCATCATTACTTGAACTTCCACAATTCTATATCTTCAGCTCTTGTTTAACAAAATGTTTCTTGTATTGCATGTTTCATTCTATATACAAGGCCATGTTCTTTTAGAATACATTCCTCTGTAAAATGCATGTTGCTTAGCAAAAAATGCTACTAGCTTTGAAGTTATGAAGCTCACACAAATAAACAAGAAGCCAAAATTTGGTTTCGTTTGGGTAAATTAGCATAGGAACTCAGAACTAAATGTCAGAGAAATAGAAGAACTTAAGGTAAGCAATGGTCTTTATCTGCAACTATATCATCGCGGAGAGCAAATGCTAGCCTGATTAATGACTAGCTCTGTTGTGCGCAGCGGAAGCGGATTGCACAGGGATGGTTGATATGAAACCGTTGAAACAACAAGAGCAAAATATGAAATACAGAAATCCAAACGACACAAGGATTTATACTGGTTCGGCCCGTGTGTAGCCTAGCTACATCCAGTTCGAAAACAGCAAGAAATTCCACTAGTATCCCAAAAGAGATTACAACCAAAGGAGATTAACCCTCTCACCTATCCTAGGAATTACAGAGTTTAACTCTCACAACCCAAATCCCAAATACACCCAAGTCACTCTCAAGCTAACAACACACAAGAGCCAAGAACACAGGAATTGTTCTTGCTCACTAGGAAAGAACACACTAAGAACAATACAAAGAAATAAACCTCCCACAAACACAAGGAACAAATAAAGAAGACTCAACCTTTGAAATGGCTTGATCTTCCTTCAACATCTCGTGTAGCCAAAGAGGAGTTTATCTCCACCACCTTGGTGATGCTCTCTAGTATTTCTCTCTATCAGGGCCGGCCTTGGGTAATCTGAGGCCCAGGGCAAAATCTTAAGTGTGCCCAAAATAATGTATACATTAAAATTATAAATTTTTTTATCAACAAATTAATTTTATTTATAGCATTCATTGTTTTACAACATGAGCCTTCCCAATTGTTATTGTTTGATGATAATAATTTGAGGAAAAATATCATCGTGTTCATCCATAGGGAATTTGCAGTTAGTTTCTCCCGCATGAAACTTTTCTGAAAGTAAATATGCCATTTTCACATTTCTCCCGCATGAAAGTTTTCTGAAAGTAAATCTGCCATTTTCGCATCATAAACTTTCAATTCATTTTCATTTTCTGCTTATTCTTCCAAATGAATATGAACAATTCATTTGGTAAATCTTCAAATAAATTTTCTTGTTTAAACGAGGTAATCCATTACAAAACTCACGTTCTACCTGCAAAACTGATTAAGACCCAACAAAAATCATCTTTGTTGCTTATCTGGGTTTGCACCTGTCTGGTTAAGGTCACTTCATTTTCTTCTTTAGCCATTCATGTATATATTAGAAACAGATTTATTTATCAGGTGAGCCATTTGCTCAGCTAAAAAGTCGGGATGAAATCCTGTTTTGCTTGGTAGGTTCTCGCTCAGCAATGTTTATATGCAATCAGAGCCTGTAATCTCACACAGCACTATTGTATAAAGCTACGCATTACAAGTTTACAACTTTCTTAACAAATAAAGCTCTCTCTCTCTCCCCAAAACCCTAGAGTAACCCCCAGAGCAGTCTCCTATTCGTTGAGTGGTTTGTTTCAATTCCTAATCCTGCTTGGACTGAATTCTTTATAGTTTTTGAAGTGTTGCCAATCATCACACCCAACTTCAAAAAGAAATCAATTCTGAACACTTGTCCTCATTCTTTTTTGGACTGAAGTTAGGAAGGAGGTTTTTACACACTACTAAGATGGCATGAGGATTTGAACTTGAGACTTTGGTTTGAAGTAAATGCTCTTTTTCACTGAACTAGACTCCATAGGCTAACACTTGTCCTCATTAACTATTCTACCTCTTAGTACCTTTAAAACTTCCGAAGCTAGACCCTAATAAACTATTGGGCAAGGCTCTAGCAAGAACCTCTAAATGAGGACTTAATATGAGAACACCGTTGGATATCCAACGGCTTTCCAAAAAGCAGTTGCAACTGAAATTATTGCACTGAAACACTCCCTTCATCCGCATGCTTTCTCCTCTCTCCCTCCAAAAATATCACTCCCTCCAAAATCACTCCCTCCAAAAATATCACTCCCTCCAAACAGATGCTCTCTTGAAGAACACAATTTTTATTTTCTGGTTTGATATTCTCCTCCCTCCCTCCATACGGTCTACCCCTCTAATTCTCTATTATCCTTCTTCTTTCGCATGCTATGTTCTCTCTCCCTCCAAAAATATCCATTCCTCTAAAAAACAGATGCTCTGTTGAAGAACACCATTTTTTTTTGGTTTGATATTATCCTCCCTCCATCCCTACGGTCTACCCCTCTAATTCTCTTTTTTTTCTTCTTCTTCTTGAGCATGCTCTATCCTCTCTCCCTCCAAAAATATCCCTTCCTCCAAAAAAACAAATACTCTCTTGAAGAACACCATTTTTTTTTCCTGGTTTAATCTTCTCCTCCCTCCCTCCCCCGCGGTGTACCCCTGCAATTCTCTTTTCTTTTTTCTTCTTGTTTGGTCATTCATACCATACAAAGGAAGTTACATCTACCTCTGTAATTCAATTTTATGTTTTCATTTGGCCAGTTTGGTGACTCTGGTCTGCTTCATCAAAGTGGCCTTGAGTTCATTACTTGATGATTGGAGACCACAAGTGAGCACTTGG